ATTTCTGATATATTTTATATATAGTTGGAATATGAGTCAAAGTGGTCAGAATTTCTGCATATTGCTGTAATATATATTATATGGATGTTAGATGAGCGCTTTAATGTGTGCAGAACTATCGGAGTAATCGGGAGTAATACAGAAATTTGCATTAAGAAAATAGTATACGGTGTGCAATGTAAACTTCGAATGTATGTTTAACTTTTTCAGGTAAATAATGATGATTAAGTCTCAGCAAATCTTGATGTTCAGCGTTGCACTTCTTCTGTTGGCATTTACATTTGCTGCAAAGTCCAACCACCATCTTCCGCGTTTTGGTGCAAGTGAGTCCAAATTCTTTGAAGTACATATGTCCATTTGAAAAAGTTACAATCCCGTTATTTGAGCTTCGTAATTCGATGGTTGGCAAACCCTACGTTACTCGTGTTCACTGATAGACTGTCTATTAAAGTAGAGATTTAATAAACACTACTTACTAGGCGTTATTGGTTAGTTACTTATGGCAGCATTTTACTTATCAGATACCCCACGTCTTTAAGAAGCAAAAAAGGTTATAATTAATAACAACAATCAACGAAGTTATCAGGGTGTGGTTGAGAAATCAGATGGGAGGCAACACCTATTTTTATGTGCTTATAGAGGGGTGTAACGTGTAAAATTAACTAAAATTAATTGGAAGTGAAAAATCAGCGGTGTCAGATTCCTGGTAAATATTGCGCAGTCCCTAAACTCAAATCTGTCGTCTTTTTGTTTATATTTTGAACGTCATTTTTGCTCTTACGATAATTTCGAAATGTCTTCTTCTATTACTTTTTATATTTGAATAACGTAAATCAAATTCTTTTAGCTGGTGGTGATACTCCCCGTCGTGCCGTCCGTCGCAAGCTTTCAAGCGACAGTAAGTTGTTCGTATTATTTTGAATGTGATGGTTTGTTTTATGTGGGAGATCATTTGAATAACGTAAATCAAATTCTTTTAGCTGATGGTGATACTCCTCGTCGTGCCGTCCGTCGCAAGTTTTCAAGCGACAGTAAGTTGTTCGTATTATTTTGAATGTGATGGTTTGTTTTATGTTGGCGATCATTGTGTGAAAATTTCGTGTTCGTAGACTCATTGGTTCCGAAGATATAAAAGGCCACTCTGAATAGGGTCAACAGATTGTGATGAAATTTGTGACAAAGTATCCAGCGAAGTCACGATATTATTCTGTCCGGTATTTTGACAGTTGACGATTGAATTTATAATGTGACGCTTGAAATCGGTTGATTAATATATAATGACAAAAAAATAATGATAAAAAACTGAATTGTAGCAAAGCTACTCATGATTTTTATATCGCATGATTTTAGACTTAGCCAGTATACGATCCTAATGCGAAACTTATATCATGCATATCATGGGAGAGGATTACAGAAAAACGCTCATGTTGGGAAAAAACATATTTTCATTTCATTATGGCTAACGTTTTGATGGTTGCCTGTTAAAAATTGCCCATATGGCGGTTAGGTGTTAACCACATCGAAACCCTCTTTGGAGTTTTTGTTCTGGTTTCCCGCGAGTTTCTCATTGATCGAAGAAAACGCTGTGACATTATTACTATTGACTATGTTAACAATTTTTGTCTACTTATTATTCACTTTATTCAAAGCAATATAAACCCCATTCACAAAGCTGTATTTACTGTTTATTTTTTCCAGGAATGCGTTATTACGATGCCGTTCGTCCCGACGGCGGTAAGGCTTTTGTTTTTCTTTTTTTTTCTCCGAACTAATGYCATCATTTAGGCGCGTAGCGTCCTTTACGCATATACGCACGTGCGTTCTAGTGGCATATTACAATTTTCGGGACTTTTTTAATATAATTTTCTTTGTTTGCTTTCTCCAACCAAGGCTTATCGAAAAGATCCTCAAAACGCTGGCAATCGCATTTCCAAGTGTTATTATTTCAAAATATCCTCGCCCCCCCCCAACGAGCAACGAGTACGAGATTGAGTACGAGTACGAGTTTTCAAACCAGCTTTTTGTTGTGTTGTCCATACCGGATTTCAATCCACTTCATGTTTTTATTTCTTTGATCTTTCAATCTACTCGCAGGAATGCAATTCATGATTAATAACATACTTAAGGCCAATTTTAAAACTCGTACTCGTACTCAATCTCGTACTCGTTGTCAAATCTGAAGTTCCCTAATATGTGTCGAGCTCCATGCTTGACATTTGCGTACTAGACAAAAAGTTGACGCTACGCGACTGTCATTATCTACGCTGTTTTGTACTTCATTTTGATGGATAAAAGAATTAATAACAATCCTTCGATATCTCTGAAAGTTTTCTGTGTTTTTATTTTCCAGACACTGCAATTATCCACCGGCGACATTGACATCTCAAAAACACAGGCTAGAGTTAAAAAAAAAAACAACAACACAGAGTTGTTTACCACTACTAATTGTAGTTAATCGTAGTTAAACAAGGCTGATATGTCATAAAGTGCGCGTACTTGTTCTGAGACATGAATAAACAGCATTAAGGGACGCTTATCTTTGTTTTCTTGTTGCTTTTTATCCTTGGGCGGACTTTTAGTAAAGTTCGTGCACACACATTTATTAACAAAGTGCATTTTATTGTGTTTTTATTTTTTTATTCTTATTTATGTTTATTACAATGGTGATCTAGTGATCGCTGTGATCATTCGACACCGTCTTAATTAGTGATACAGTCAGATATATTTCGCTTGCCTTTGTTTTGAGGTATATACCAACTTTTGACAAACTCTTGACGTAGTAGCGGTTTATGACGTCAAGAGTGTGTCRATAAGTAATATATACAGTATGAGCGGGCGAGCTGTTTTAAACCTCATACAGATCGCTCGCACGCGAATATTGTATACATTACTTATGAAACGTTGAGGTGAGAGTTAAAGTTTATGCAAATCAACGAATAATCTGTATGTGGATTTAAAACTCCCTTCATAGGCTATGATTTCGATTGTGTTTTGCCTTATGAATATTAATGAGTTTTATTACAGGRCATCCAACTTAAAACCGTGCGCAATTTGTTTTCTCTAAAACATGATTAGTTTTCAATCGAGCGCTCGTGCGACACATGACGAGATYACCATAGTTTGAATTGCCTGCTGACACTCACTTATCAACCAATCAGCACACGATATTTCACATATGGAGGGAAGATACCTTTTCTCATAATACTTACTATTCAAACTTAGTGATGTATGTTATTATGAGTTTTAGATTTGATGTCGTTCTATATTCMTGTGATTACTAAGCCAACAACTCTAGTAAAGCACTTTCGCTGTCACAATGAATACAATTTAACTTTTGGTGAACTTTTCGTGTGTATATATGCCATTATTATAATGAAAACAAAGTCGTCCACAGAGCAGGCTAGTTTAGCACATCGATTTCACTTTGATGGGCTCTTATCATCTCCAGCCTTTTTTCCTAGGCACCTCAAAAGGAAGCAGTTTTTTTCTTCAGTTTTTTGAGTATCCTGTCCGAGTACGAGTAAAACTAGTGCCAATAGACAAGAAAGCAGCCATTCCGATATCAGGTAGCTACTCAGGAGGTTAYATTTCCGTATTCTACCGTTCAGTAGGCMTGTTATCGAAACAGGTGCTGACTGTATGTTCTACGATCTATATGTATAATCTTTGACAGTAACTTGACTCAAACATTACAAAACAAATATTACATTATGACTAAGCTAGCGGTACATCTATCTATAAGAACAGAAAAACAAACAGAACCTTTACTCATTATAAAAGGCTGMCAACTTTGACAAATGTAAAATCATTTGGAGATTAGATATAAGCCGTTTCTGAAATGATATATCAGGTGAGCTGGATTGTTTTAGATGATGAAAAGGAAGATTTTTTTATTGAACCAATTTGACCCACTCCACCTCCCCCTGCTCCTTCTTTCCATTGCTATCTTCTTGTTTGATATTGTTATTTCTATTGCTGTGTTCCTCTTATTTTTCGTCTTTTAGTTTTTTTTCAGAATTTAGTTTATTTTACAGTTGCGCTAGCATTTTTTTTTTTTGACAACTGACAAAAAGAAAAATAGGGGATTTTATACTTCCCTCCTTCTTTCTTCTTGTTCTTCTTGTTCTTGTTCTTCTAGTGTTCTTCTTGTTCTTCTTGTTCTTCTTGTATTTTCAGTTATAGCTAGATTATTTTTTATAATCAACTTCCTTTCTTTGATATTTTTTCCGCATTGGGTGGTATTTACCATCATGACAGAAGATTCCCGCATCATGTTCCTGACAACGGTCCATTGCTGTCAACCGAGCAAACATTTTTAAGAATACTTTATTTCATATCATCTCTTCCTACGCGTTCTTTGTTTTTTATTTATTCATTTATCAATTTTTCGAAAAACGGTGTTTGCTAAATATAGTTTCGATTACGAGTAGACGCGCGCTTTCTATAATAAGTTTGAAATATTCTTGAGAAAGACTTTCAGTGAAATAATAGATATTAATCTACCCTTTTCTTTATTCAAAAAGCAGTTAACGTTAGCATACTACCGTGGYTGTTCTCAAAGAATTTAGCAATTGCTTTGAGATGCTGGAGATTGCTTATTCAAATGCAGTGCCAAATACCAATCAAATTGTTCTTTTTTTTTATTATTATTTTTTCTTTGAAACCGAGAAAGATCAGCACCTTGGGTTAGTGGAGATTCCCTCGTAAAATTTCAGCAATTACACTTGATATGTTCTTCATTTTTCGAATTGATTTTTCAATGTACTGCCGGTAGAAATGGTTCTTATTTGAATATATTAATGGTAARCTAATGCCAAAAAGAGCAGGTGAATTTTATCCATTTTATGAATTTTATTTCATTTTATTTCATTTTAGCCAATGTTAGTGTTATTCTTCATAAGCTTTGTTATTMAACTTAAGAAAAAAGTAACGGTTTTTCTTAACAATGGGCTTGCCGCTAATGAGGGATTAGTAMACTGTTATGTATTCAAAAAGTCTTCTGTTCTCTTGATTGCTTTCATYTAATCAAACAAAGAAACTGACACTTACATGACAACAGAAGCGAGAGACCTACATGAGAGACATATGAAAAACCCGATGGTATGACATTTGAATCATTATTATCAACTAGCGATAAGAAAAACTGTATATTTTGTGGTCTATTTTGTTAGACTACGAGATAAATACTTCCACAGATTCTTGACATTTTAGTGCTTAATTTAAATTGTGTCGTTCTCGTTGAAGAAATTGTTGGAAAACCACACTATTATTGCTTTTAGAAAAAAATATTTTTACTCTCGTTGATCGTTTATCTTTCGGCGAAATCCAACAACTATAAGAAGCGCTGATGACAAGAAGAATTCACACATTCACTGATGACAATTATTGGCCATTAAGGTTGTAACATGCTTCTCATCAAGAAGACTGACGTCAAATAACGATTCAATCTTCCCTAGTAATACCAATCAAAGGAAAAAATGAAACTAACTTTATTGTGACAACATAGCTTAGCAATAATTAATGCAATAATTGTTGTAATTACAGATGCCTGCAGCTTCCATGTATAACTGTTACACTTAGCTACAAACTGCATGAATACTTGATGAGGAAAGGAAGCACATATGTAAATCTGTAAAAGAGGTCTACTTAAAGTCTTTTTGTCGCTGATAACAATGTAATCCAGAAGAAATAAAAAGAACTCATAAAACAGATGGCAGGTAAATCTTATACTCATAGTTATATTTGGCTGRGAAATATATAAAAAGAGGAAAAAATAGAATAAAGAAGACAACTTTTATAACTTAAAGACTTCGAAAAAGCTGATAAGCAACTTAAAACGAACACTGACATAAAGCCTCTTGTCTTAATTAGTGACTTCTACTTTTCCTCTGAAGCAAATCAAGTGGATTTTGTTAGCAGAGTAAAATAGAAAGACAAATTTTGTTTACTTCAGTTGTCGCCGATTTGCAAACATAARAACCAAAGACTCGCGGCTTCCTTTGTATTAAAGTGAAGCAAAAATGAACCGGTATCGATAATGGACAGTTAACGCCAAGAAAAGGCGGAGATGTTATGTTGTAAAAAGCAACCTTTTTTCTTCTAGTTTATCCAAAGTGAACTGGCAAATGGATGTGACACTTTTCTAAGATCTTACAAGCTCCTGTTAGCCAGCTTGGCGTGGTTTAAAGAAGGAAAATCTATTCTATACCAAACAGGTGTCGACGATTGATTCTATCAATTATCTGAGTCCAAAATCTTGGGAAGACTACATTGACACAGTAATTGAAGTCCTATTTTAATTTTTTCATATGTCCAGGTGACAAGTTGTTTGATTTAAGTCCGTCTATTTTCGCCTGGGATGATGGACGATAAGAGCTTCTCTCACAAGTGAAAAAGGACAGAAAGTGAGGACTTTCTACTTCATAACTATAAGACTATATTGTTTATTGACAAAAGGACAACATATGAATGGAAYCAGGGCGTGTATTCGGATWTGAGAAAAATGRGTTCAAAGGCTTCTAATACGAGCGATTGTAATTCACACAGTTTTGAGGTATCATTTGTTGTTATMTTCGYCWTACAATCTTTGCTGATATTCATWGGAAATCTTRTKACCTGTGTTGTATTTCTGTCCAAGAGACACCTTCGCCATTCCTATATGAATATCTTCCTTGTAAACCTAGCCATCGCTGATTTGTTGGTCTCTATTGTTGTTTTCCCTGGTTATACAATATTCTGCAGTTGTTTTCAAATGCAAGCCAGCCTTTCAGTTTGTGATTTTTTTGATGGTTGCAAAGATTATGTATTACTTGCTACGATATTTAGCATACTGGCAATAACATTTGACCGCTATGTCGCAGTTCTTCAACCTTTAAGGTACCGAATAAGGGTCACAAGGAGAAGTGTTGTTTATATTCTGATATTAACGTGGGCTTTGCCTGTGCCGTTTTCATCTCTYAAGCAAGTCATTAAAGCCATCGATCCYGAAATCCTCTATAATGATAGACACCATATCTACGATAACATTGTTGTGTTTTCGTGCATTATTCTACCGATGATAGCAATCGTAGTAGTTAACTTAATGATCACTAAAGCTATAAGGGGACAAGTACAAAAGATTAGTTCCTATGGTAACACTGCTATTCAGGAACCTCGTAWCGATAGCAACCAAAACAGCATTCCGARCTTAARAAGATGTTTGCATTGCGAGCTGGGTTCTAATAGCAATAGCGTTTTCCAASGCAACCAGCCTGGGAAAAGTATTTTGACCACAGATGGACATCTCCAAGGCGTCTCMCATTTCCATGACAACGCTGGTTTCCAAGACGACCAACTTATAMATACTGAGCAAAACTGTAACGATAAACCAGTTAATGATTTGCATTTGAAAATATCGACAAGTGAAAACCAAAACATYGAGKATGAAYCGCGCTCAACTGATTTATTACGTGGCCAAAGTAAAACACGCGATATCAACATTATGTCACATATTACCACTATTCAATATGACCAAGAAAATATGAATAGACATGACTATCAGATAAGCCAGTTGACCGAGAAGGAGCGAAGCTTGGACGAAGATAACTCCTTGAGTGAGAGCAACACTTTTTCAGGCACTACTCAAGGTGATTTTAAAAATGACATAAAAAGAGATAACGAGAGGAACAGACATAATAAAGATGGAAATACAGAAATAAAAGAGAAAAATCCAATTAAAACAATTAAAAGAGAATATGAATTGGATTCAATGCAGTCTTCTAGGATYGTTTACAGAGCAAGCTTGACAGAGGAAAAAATAAGCTACTTTRCCACACAATGCGATTGTAACGAAACTAAAAAATACTCGATAAAAAAGCGTTTAAGAACTATATCTTACAGCCTCAAGAGGCAAAATGCTGACCAAAKTCAAGCCAAAAAATCTTCTTTGATAACAGATCGCTTGAGGAAATTTTCCCGTGATTTGCGGGAGCGGAATGGAACACGTTCATGTTTGGTTATCATCGTGATCTTTGTTGTATGCTGTATTCCTCGATGTCTGTTGAACATTTTTAACTTATTCGCGCCTTATCTTATAGAGAATGAGAATGAGAATGTTCTAGAGAAAATATCTCTCTTGTTTCTGTTCTTCCAATCAATGGCAAACCCACTTGTGTAYTCCTTATATCGAAGGGACTTTAGACAAGCAGCTAAAGATATTTTCCGAAAACTTTTACGGTTAAATTGAGCTTACGGAGAATCATAGAGTTAAGTAAAGAAATCCGTGAAATGGACAAATACAACTTAGTGGGCTTTAATTACATCATTTATTTCAAGCAATATATAAAGGATATTGTATGGGTGCTTGGAGATAGAGAGGATATTACATGGGCGCGCGGAGATACGGATTTTATCTTCGAGTGTTGAAAAGATCTCTCACGAGTGAGCGTAGCGAAAATAGTAAAAATAACGCATTCGTGGTATCTCTATATACTGGCCTGGAGGTAAACAAAAGTTATTCTAAACATTATTTTATTTTACTTTCATGGCCTTTCATTGATAATTATATGTTATTATATAGATGATTTCTAACGCGCGCTCTGATTGGCCAAAAAAGTGTGGTTTATGAGAGTTTATAAAATTTTTGATATATAACGCGCTCTGATTGTCTGATGACCGTGTTTATATCAGAGGACAGAGACACGGCTTACCGACAAAATTTGTTTTTCGCTCGAAAAATTTTATAAAAGAAATATAAAACGGCCGCTTGTGTCTCTGTCCTCTCGCTACGCTCGTGCTCCTAAGCTTGCTTCTCTCGTATTTTTCGAACTGCCACCGTGTTTATATCAGAGGACATAGACACGCGCGCCGTTTAATATTTCTTAAATAAACCACGATTGTGCGCGAGCGATTTTTGAAAAAGGCAGCAAAATGGATTTTTCTCAACCTGTGGTTTATACTCTGATAAACGCACGCTTGGCATTTGAAGCACACTCAAAAATGTCCAAAAGCACTCGCTTTCTTCAGCTCGTGCTTCTTGACATTTTCTCGTGTGTTGGGCTGAGCCTTATTTATTTGTTAAATAAACAGAATATTATATGGTCGCTTGGAGATACACGATTTTTGTCTTCTCGTGTTGAAAATCTTGCTACGCTCACTCGTGAGATATCTTTTCAACACTCAAAAAATCCGTATCTCCGCGGGTCCATGTAATATCCTCTATCTCACTCCAACATATAGATTTTGCTTCACGGATTTATTGACCTCAACTTATGACGACCAGTGTACAGATTTTGTCCTTGCGCTCATCGTACTGCCTCTTCCTGAAATTAATTTAAGGCGTAATGCAACTGACGGTCACAGGAATCCCGTCATCACTAAGAGAAAATAAGTTGTCCGGGAAAGTGGCCTCTTATATCGTTGAGTCTACAAGCTTTCAACCAAAGCGCTATCGTAATGAAGTACAGTTACTTTTCATAAAACAGTATAACATATTTACATACATGTCATATTTATTGCTATTTATTTCTCTCTGTATAAATAATCAATTGTGCGTTTAACTGTGTTCGTTGACATTACTCTGACTCGTGAATCTTACGTTGTGGGGCTACGTTAATCTTGTACGTGAAACGATCATCTTTTACGTATACGATAATTTCGTGCGTTTACATTTATTTTGTGAGTTTACGTTCATTTTGTTTGTGAACATTAATTTAGTAACGTTTAAGTTAAATTCATGCGTTTACGATAGTTTTGTATTTATGCATCGATTTTGTGCGTTTACATCAATTTTGTGCGTGGACAATCAATTTCGTGCGTTTACTTTAATTTCGTGTTCATGCCGATCAAGTTCGTCCGATAAATCTGTTTATTTTTTTTCGGTCGGGTATCCTAGTCATTCGCGCGCTGTGATTGGCTAGCGCACGGTCCGGTTTTTCGCGATCTGCCCGGTCCGACCGTATCCTGCAGCTAGGCTGCGAGCAAAGTTGCATAAAATACAAATAAAAAAAATAAAAATGTTATTTACCGGCTATAGGTCGGCCCGTATAGGAAAACACTGCCCTCGGTCTTTTATGTACGGACCTCGCTGCGCTCGTTCCGCACTGTCAAGACCTCGGGCAGTGTTTTCCCATACGGACCTCCCAGCCGGTAAATAACATATATTTATAAATTATACATTGATGTTCATTTTGTTGCTGTATGCTGAATACAAAAGACTGCTCTCTGTAACTGGAACCATCAATGGACTGGAATTATTATATGCCAGTTAGTATTGGAAAATAAGAACAACAATAAATGGGAAGTCAAGTATAATCAAAGCATTCGCAAATGACAATAGGGTGTATTCATGTCCCTATAACTGAGCCCTGTCCACAACACCGGAAAATTCGTGTTCTAGTCTTAGTCGAAAAGTGGTCTCTTTTGCTTCTTCAATCCGGTGGCAATGTTTAGTATAGAGAGAAGGGATCAGAGTAGGCAATGATATGGCAAAGTGTTTTATATAGCTTGGTATATAGCTTCTTACTAAATAAAATACGTCGACGCTGATTTATCAATCTCTTATAAGAGGACATCAATTTGTCCTTTACCACATTTTAGTCATTTTAAAATCGCAAATCATTCCCTTCTTTTAACTAAGAGCGCACGAGACGTCATGGTGTAACCACAGTGTGCATGTCCTCTTATTGACACACTCTCATTAGCCAATCAGCGCGAGAGAATTCACACAACTGTGGTAAAAATAATATTGCATGGATGCTTGCAGATACGTGTTCGCTACGCTCGCTCTTGAGAGATAAAATCCGCATCTCCACGCGCCCATGTATCGTCTTATTATTATTCATTTCGTGTTTGCAAGTGACTTCATAAGACATCATGGATATATTATATACTACTAAATTAAAATTGACTGACAGTTTGTTCAGCTTGTTCTTATTACTGTTCAAATTAATATTTCTCCTCAGAAAGAGTAATAAACCTTTAAAGGAAAAGCCACTGCTTAATCAGAAAATATCTCTTGCGTTCAAAGTTAGGAACAATATTACAATATAGATCACTAGATAAAAAAGTGCTTCATTCGCACCTGATCTTACGTATGCGCGTGTCCGTTTTTGCAGCGTCGCTAATGCATGACATGACTCATGACGTGTCCAGTCATCATATGACGTTATTTTGACGTTTACAGCCTTTTGCAAAAATTATGAGAATTGTCTAAATATCTAAATATCATAATATCCATATCCATATATTGTCCGGAACACGCGGGTTTGCTAGAATAATTCATTGTTGACATCRAGAAAATGTTCAGAACTACGGATAAGTCTGTCGCCAAAAAAAAACTAAACTGCAAAGACAAGGGACTAAGGGCATCACGCGGGATTACCCATCATGCACTCGATATTATGATATTTAGATATTTCAACAATTCTCATAATTTTTGTAAAAAGCTGTATATCAGTGGTTGGCATTTATAAGTGCACCTTTGACGTTTTGTTGAATCACTTGTACACCCGTTTTTTTGAAGCACACATTTTGTTACATGGACGTATTTTGGTTTGTTTTCGATCAGAAGGGATTTGAAATTTTTATTTTTATTTTCTCATTCACCGCCTACTAAATTTATTTACCAATCAGTCAAGTGGAAAACAACTGCAACTCTTTAGCCATTTAAAAAAGACAGTTAATATAGTTTAACTTATTTTTTTTTACCATATTCATCTTAGTCCAAACATTGACATGAATAAAACAATATTTTACGCAAGAA